GGAGTGCAGTGGCACAATCTCAGTTCTGTGCAGCCTCTGATTCCTGGGCTCAAGCTATCTTCCCGCCTCAGCCTTCTCAGTAGCTGGAACTACAGGCCTGCACCACCACACCTGGCTAATTTTTAAATTTTTTGTAGACACAGGGTCTCACTATGTTGCCTAGGCTGATCTCGAACTCCTGGGCTCAAGCAATCTCTCACCTTGGTCTCCCAAAGTGCTGGAACTACAGGCACAAGCCACCGCGCCTGGCCTATCACTACTTTTGTAGCTTTATTCTCATGAATTCCATGTTACAAAGCTGCATAAATAGAATTCATTTCATTCACAAAAGTAGTTTGTTTTTATGTATTTGATAGGATTTGTGTTATGTGTTATATATGTAAGGGAAACTACAAAACTCTGAGAAACCTACAAGGCATGAGGAAAGGAAATAAATGCCCAAGTCCTATTAGAGAAGGCTAACTGTTAAGGATCTCAAGCCAGGCGTGGTGGCTCATACCTGTAATCCTAGTACTTTGGGAGGCCAAGACGGGAGGATCGCTTGAGGCCAGGAGTTCAAGACCAGCCTGACCAAGAGTGAGAACCCATCTCTACAAAAAGTTTAAAAAAAAAAAAATTAGCCAGGCATAGTGGTGCATGCCTATATTCCCAGCTACTTGGGAGGCTAAGGCAGGAGGATCACTTGAGCCCAGGAGTTTGAGGTTGCAGTGAGCTATGATGAGCCACTGCACTCCAAGCCTGAGCAACAAAGGGAAACCCTGTCTCAAAAAAAAAAAAAACAGAAAAGAATCTCAGTATTCCTCTAGCCATGCAGTTAGCTCAATATCAGTTAAGATTCCAGTTGCATTTTCCTTAAAACTTAAAAAAATGATTCGCAATTTCATTTCTGAATCCAGAGTATTTTGGAAAAGAAGAATAATGAGAAGGGAACAAGCTCTGTCAGGTACTAAAACTTATTTAAAGCAGCAGTCATTCAGAGTGTTATTGGGGGGAATAATATAGGCATAGAAATCAGTGGAACAAAATAGTACAGAATATGTATTACATTTTAATATATTTGTTACAAAAATATTGAGTACCTGCTGCACTGTATGACAAAGCAGGTATACAGAACAATGGGAAACTAAATAATGATTTCTTAAATTGTTTTTAAATACCCCTGAGCAACCTGGAAAACATTTAGAGTCTTCTCTTAAACCCTACACCATAACAAACTCCAACCTAACTGAATTTTGCAACTTAACACATCTAGGAAACTTATGAAGAGATATTGAGCAAATTACAAACAAATTGACAGTATAAAAATGTTTTAAGTTTCATAAAAATGAAAAATAGTATAAATAGGAAAATTTTTGTCTCAAATATTAATATAAGGAGTTGAGGGCCGGGCGCAGTGGCTCACGCCTGTAATCCTAGCTCTCTGGGAGGCTGAGGCGGGCGGATTGTTTGAGCTCAGGAGTTCGAAACCAGCCTGAGCAAGAGCAAGACCCCGTCTCTACTAAAAACAGAAAGAAATTAATTGGACAACTAAAAATATATAGAAAAAAACTAGCCGGGCATGGTGGTGCATGCCTGTAGTCCCAGCTACTTGGGAGGCTGAGGCAGTAGGATCACTTGAGCCCAGGAGTTTGAGGTTGCTGTGAGCTAAGATGACACCACGGCACTCTAGCCCGGGCAACACAGTGAGACTCTGTCTCAAAAAAAAAAAAAAAATATAAGGAGTTGATTAAGGGGCTACTACTGACCAAACCTGGGACAATTTGAACATGGCAATAATGAATGATAGTGATAGATTACAGCCCATTGAATAAAACAAGAATCCATGAGTTAATTCATAAATTAATTAATGCAGGAGAAGGGAAAGCTTTTCCTTGCAATACAATTTCAACTAATGTCAGAAGAATGATGGAGTTAGGAGTTAATAATAAATATCATTATACCCTCCACATAAAAGGATTTTAGAATAAAGTTTACACAAGGAGATAAAATAAATAATCTTTGGGGAAGTGTGCAGTTTTGCTGAAAATGAAAGAAATGCATATTAAATAATGAGTTATTTCATATGGTGGCAGCATAAATTGGAAAACAGTTTTGCAATAAGTACAAAGAGCCATTATTGCTGCTAAATTGACCTGAGGAAATAACCTCAGAAAGGAATTCATATGCTTGAAAATTCTCATTGCAACATTATTTACAGTAGCAAGAATTTAGAAATCACATACACATGGAAAAATAGAGGAATGTGTAGAAAGTTATGGTTTACCACTTAATAGAATATTATTAAAGCGAAGTATTTTAAATATAATTACAAAAATGAACTTAATGAAAATATGTAAGTGAAAAATTATAACAAATTGCGCCACTACAGTTATGTAAAATTTTACAGATACAAGCTATGGGAGGGATCAAAGTGAAAATATTTGACTTATTGGAATTTCAGGCTGCTGGATAATTCTGAATGTGTTTTTTGTTTTTGTTTTTTTTTTGAGACAAGGTCTCACTCTATTGCCCAGGCTGTTGTATAGTGGCATCATCATAGCACACTGCACCCTCCAACTCCTGGGCCCAAGCAATCCTGATGCCTTAGCCTCCCTAGTAGCTGGGACTATAGGCATGCACCACCATCCCCCACCACCAGATAACTCTTTTATTTTTTGTAGAGATGGAGTCTCGATATTGCCAGGGCTGGTTTTGAAACTCCTGGCCTCAAGTGATCTTCCCACCTTAACCTCCCAAAGTGCTAGGATTACAGGCTTGAGCCACCGTGCCTGGCCCCTGAATGTGTTCTTGAATGTAATTTTTATTTTTATCAAAGTAATATCTGTACAGAGTATTATCCTGTAAGATAGCAGTGCTTTACCCACCCTCCTGCCTATCCGAATTCTTGACCTCCAGAGACAATGACTTTCAATTCTTTACTGCTGGTTCTGCCATTTGCCTTCATATTTACTACTCTTATACTGCAGTTCTTTGATTGGTTTCATTTGAAGCCATAATCTATTGACTTCCTAACATGGAAGATTAGGATTTAGTTCTCTCACACTGCCACCCACACACAATTTCCCTTTTCACGTCTTCCCAGTAATGTTTTCATTTTTACAGCTTTATAAAAATTGTTCCTAGCTAAACCAAATGATCTACTGGAGTCACATTTCCTTCACATCTTTGCTGTACTCCATCTCTTTTCCTAAATTTGGTATCTACCATTTTCTCAGTTTACTTTCTAGTTTTGGTAGAACCTATCTTCTAGTAGCTACCTCTGAAAAGGTTAATGGATGGTGTATTTTTTGTGACCCTGCATGTCTGAAAATGCCTTTATTTTACCCCCTCACTTAATTTATAATTTGGCTGGATGTAAAATTCTAGATTAGAAATAATTTTCCCCCAGATATTTGAAGGCATTGCTTCCATTGTCTTCTAGTTTCCTGTGTTGCAATGATGAAGTTTATTGCCATTGTGACTCCCAGTCCTTTGTGTGTAAACTGCTTTTCCTCTGTGGAAGTCTTTAGAATCTACTCTTCATCCCTGGTGTTCTCAAATTTATACTGTGGTATTCTTTAGTATGCGTTTTTAAAAATTCATCATATCAGATATGAAGTGGTCTCTTTCAACCTAGAAATGCATTTCAGTATTGGGAAAGTTTTTTGTCATTTATTCATTTTGTAACTGCTACTCTTTGAATATATTGGGCCTCCTCTTTTTTTATCCCCCTTCTATTTTCCATTTTTGTCTATTTTCCATGTTTGTTCTGTCTTCTGGGAAATTTCATCAACTATCTTCCAACCCTTCTATTGACCTTGTTTGTTTTGTTTTGTTTTTGAGACAGGGTGTCACTCTGTCACCCAGGCTGGGATACAATGGCATGATCATAGCTCACTGCAACCTCAGACTCCTGGGCTCAAGTGATTCTTCTGCCTAAGCCTCCTGAGTAGCTAGGACTACAGATGCATACCACCACACTCAGCTGACTTTTAAAAAAAAAATTTGTAGAAACAGCGTCTTGCTATGTTGCCCAGTCTTGTCTTGAACTCCTGAGCTCAAGTGATCCTCCTGCCTTGGCCTTCCAAAGTGTTGGGACTATAGGCATGAGTTACCATGCCCAGCCTCTATTGACCTTTTTAATCTGTATTCTCTCCTTCCCCTCTTGACATTTTGAAGCAAATCCCAGACATTGTGTAATTTCTTACATAAATATTTTAGTATATGTCTTTAAAAAGTAAATACTCCTAAAAGAAATAATACATCTCTGTTATTATACTTAAAAATTAACATACAGATATCCATTCAGTGTTCAAATTTCTACTTGTGCCTACTGTTACAGTTCATTTTTTTTCATGCAATTTGTTTAAATCAAGATTCATACAATACCAGGTCTATACTTCAGAATTGGTTGATATCTCTTTAAGTCTTTTTATCTGTGAGCTCTGTCTCCATTTCTTGTCTTTTCCTTATAGTTCATTTTCTGAGAATATGTATTCCTTCTCCTGCCCCAGCCTTTTTAAAGCTTCTTGTTCTTGTTTCATGGGTAACATACCATCTTTGCTCTCTCAATGAATATAAATTACAAGGTTGAATTTTGTTTTGTTGTGTTCTGTTTCTCACCTTGTCTTTGTTTCCCTTTCTTCCTTTTTTCTGTTTATTTTTCTGTTTTTACTTTTCTCAAATGCCTGGGGATCCTTTGCTATCTATTGCTCCTTTAATAGTGAGGTACTAAAAAGCAGATTGGAAAGGGTTCTGGGCAAGAATTTGCTTATTTCTCATGGGCTTCCTTTCTTTAGGCTTAGATTTTAGCTTTCTCTAGTCTTCTTTGTTAGTTACCACTTACCCATCTTCTTCTGCCATTGCTTCCTCTCCTGTTGCTTCCTGTCCTTGTGAGTTAATGCATAATTTTTCCATTATTGTCATTTCAATGGTATTTTGGAAGAAAGTAGAGAGTAAAACATCCATATTTAATCAGAAGTCCCTTTCCATTTTAAAGTTCCTATTACTGCAATAAATGGGGTCAGATAGAAGTCAGTGGCATTAGGTCAAGTTAATGGGGTCTTTTGTCCTATTAAAGTGGTCTGTTGGCCTAAAAGGTTTTGTAAACTGCTGCTTAAAACAGTTTCTTCCATATGTGCACATAAGTGTTAATCAATTAGTACCAATTTAATGGTGAGTACCGAGACTTGGCTTGGTACACGTGGTGCTTGTTTTTCCATTCTTGTGATACTTCACTTAGAAGGATAGAGCTTATCTGTCAATTAAAATAATAATAATAAAGTTCTGTATTCAAAAATAAATAAATAAAATTAGCTAACCAAAAAAAAAAAAGTTTCCTAATACATAGTTCTAGAAACATAACAGCATTTCTTCTTGTTCACACTCATGTTTAAGTCAAGGAGGGTTTAAATCTAATAACTATTATATTAAAAAAATTTTTTCAGAGGAATCTAGTTGCTTTGCCAGCATGAGTCAGTATTAACAAATTCTATTTTAGGATTTAGAAGTTGACCAATATAAAATATGTCTTCTTCTGAACTAGTATATACTAATCAAAATCCCTGATTGTAGGAGGGTTTATATTTGTTACTGGGTCTTGACATAAACAAAACAAACCAGAATTAGAATTATTACACAGGTCCCACCTCAGACAAAATGAAGAAATTCTTTAGTGGGAGAATCTCAGTGCTTATTTTCAACTAAACAGAGTCTCATCAATATTACATGTAAGAAAATGTTGGAAAGAAAACTATCTGACAGGATAATCATAAGCAAAAGAAAATCCTCTTATTGTAGCCCCTCATTTTATAGAGAAGGAAATAGGAATTCCCTGAGCAATGAAATGATCTGACCAAGGTAACTCATCTAGTTATTAGCATAGCCACTAAACTATAGTTCTTAACTCCCAAATAATTGTTCTTTTCAGTGTGGTAGAATAATAGAAGAGGGATATATAATAAATATATTGGTGGATTTTTTGCTGCTTACTGAGCAGAGGAGTGATTTTTAAATGATAAGCTTTGTATACTAATTGAAAGAGGTAGAAATTTGGAATCCAGCTCTAAGGTAATAGGAACTAATGCAAAATTGTGTGGGTAACAATGGAAAAAGGAGAAATTTAGGCTAAACTGGAATAGGATTATCAGCAGGCCTTGGTGATGAACTTCATTCACATGAAAAATAGAAAGGGCCTGTCAGATATTATGAGGAAGACACCAGAGTTGTAGTGATAGGACAAGATAATGAAATCAGAGATTGATGTTGAATTTGACATAGTAGCTGGACAAGCCAGTTAAAAGACAGAGCTGCGTAGACATCAAGAACAATCAATTCCTGTCCTTGATTTGCCCATTTTCAGTCAATGGGACCAAAATTTCCCAGTTGGGGATGGAAAACCAGTAGAATGGGAAAAATAGGATATTTTTTAGCTGCTTTATTTTCCCCAGAAGTCTTATCTCTATATTTTAAATATCTGTTGTCACTTCAAATTGAAAATAAAACCGACTCAACCTTCTCATTCTCACCATCTCAAAAAGAGTCTCTTTCCCATTCTTTTTCTTTTTTGGGGGGTGGGCGGGGAGGTGTCTCACTTTGTTGTTCAGGCTGGTCTCGAACTCCTGGCCTCAAGCGATCCTCCCGCCTCGGCTTCCCAAAGTGCTAGAATTACACCCCATTCTTTCTATTTTAATCTTTGACACGATCTTTCTATTTTAATCTTTAATCATAGTATTTATCAGAATGTATTCTAATCATTTATTTACTTGTCTGTCATTGCTAGTAGATTATGAGCTTCTTGCAGATTATCTTATTTTTATTTGTATCTCTAGTGCCTAACACATAGACTTGGCTCAGGAAATGTTTGGTTGCTGAAAGAGAGCTTTGCCAACAGGCTCAAATATAAATTCATCCTGGCGTTCCAACTTGTCAAGAATCTAGATCCTCCCTACTTCACCTCACCAGTAGTAAACCTCTGTTTCCACACTGATTTGGTTCCTTCCTGTTCATCATTCATGCCTCCATGTCTTTGATTGCACTGGTACTCCATGCCTGGATTCTTCTCTTCTAGGCCCTATCCTTCCCATCCATCTAAATTCCACTCGAAAAGTCTTAAAGCTTGTGCCCTAACCCCACCTCTTTCTTCTAGCCTTTCTATGCGAGTAAAACCCATCTTCCCTTTCTCTGAATTCCTGTACTACTCATTGCTGGTAATAAATTGTTCTATTCTTTAATCATATTCATGGTGCTACTTTTGAGTATAATAATGATAGCTACCATTTAATCAAATATCTCTTACACACCAGACTCTGAGTATATGCCTTATCTCAAATAGTCACACACTTCTCAAAGGTATAGTAGTATCATCCCCATTTTATAGCTGAGAGGTAACTGAGGCTCAGAGCTTAAATAAGTTATCTTGCTCTCAAGATTTACACAGATCTTAATCCAGATCTAACTCCAAAAAACCTTTGCTCTTTCACCTATATACAATATCTCCTCTCGCCCTTCTGTTCTCTTCCCTCCCTTGAAATAGACCTTTTTGGGCATATCCATTCTTCACCACATCTGCTATGTTTTTATAGATGCTTGATGAATGTTCGTTGAATTGAGTTGATAGAGCTGGTAGGAGTGTTGAAACCTATTCAATTTTTTGTATTTTAGGATGCCTTGTTTTTTAAAAGTTGCATGTTGTTTTTTTTTTTTGACATTTTCAAAACTGTAATTAAACTACCTGTACATGTTAAAGCCGACACCTAGGCCGGGTGCGGTGGCTCACTCCTGTAATCCTAGCTCTCTGGGAGGTCGAGGTGGGCGGATTGTTTGAGCTCAGGAGTT